CTTATCAGGAACGCCCTTGGACTGGGTTAATGAGACAAAATACCTGGGTGTGTATGTAACTCGCACACGTTGTCAGATCCCTGAAGTCCGCTATCTTCGAGACATATGTTTTCGGCGTCTCGCTCCCCTCTCTACCATGTGCAGGGGTTCCCTTGGTGCCAGCATCCCTGTACTTCTCACCATGTACAAGTCTTTTGTTCGTTCCTGTGTCGACTACGCCGCCCCTGCCCTCGTCAACGTTAGTCGGACTGCTGTCAACCGTCTCGAAGTTATCCAGAGGAAAGCTGCTCGTATCATCCTTGGGGCTCCTCAGTGGACACGCTCTACTTCTCTATATAACGAACTTGGTCTTTCCCCCTTACAGGATCGTGTCCAGGAGTTTTACCTAAAAACTGCCGTTTCCATTCTACGGGATCCTAGGGGCAACTATGTCCAAACCAACTTGACTACTGCTGTTCGAGACCGACCTCCATCTAGAAGACAGTGGCGAGGGTCACTCATCCGAGCCCTTCAGGAACACGACCTCCTGCCTGATATTGTTGTCACCCCTGCTGTTGGTTCGTCTCCTTCTCCCTGGCTGGATTTTCAACCTGAAGTGATTGCCCTCGGTGGACCGCTCCCGAAATCCCAGGTGAACCCTGTTATTCTCTGCAAATACCACCTCTCCAGGATCGCTCACTGGTCCCCAGGTAGGGTCGTCCTCTACACTGATGGTTCTGTTGACCCCGCTACAGGTAGGGCCGGGGCTGGTGTCTACATCTCCCGTCCTCATGCCCCTGAGCCTATCAAACTGTCTCTCAGAGTTTCTGACGGGGCATCCTCCACTCAGGCTGAACTAATAGCCCTCCTTGCTGCCCTTCTCGCTGAGGAAGAAGCAGATGGTTTCTGCCCCTTGCTTGTCTGCTGCGATTCCAGGTCTGCTCTCGACGGGATCGCATTTGGATCTGGGGAAAATAAGGACCTCATCCTCCGAATACGAGGGTTAACATCCACACTTCAGGATGAAGGCCGTCCTGTGACATTCCTATGGATACCTAGTCATGTCGGTATCTTGGGGAATGAGGCAGCAGATGACCTTGCCAAGACTGGCTGCAACAAGGCCACACCTGACTACGTTGTTCCTCGAACACTCTTACAGATTAGGACCCAAATCCGCCGCAAACAGAGAGAAGCTCGGGAAGCAGCCATCCCCCTGGACTCCCCGCCCACATGGTACGATGTCCTCCGTAAACTTCCTGACTTCTCGTACGTCTACGGGAAAGGGTCGCGGAAGGGGGACGTGATTGCTGCCCGTATCATCATTGGGTATGACTTTGCTTGGGAGATTGGTATCCCCACATCCCCTGAGCAACGCTCTTGTGCGTTATGCAGAAGACCCGACAGCCGCACCCTTATTCACTACCTCCTAAGATGTCCCCACACACAACGCTTCCGTGACGCCTGCTGGACCACCACTCCACGACCCCCTGACGGAGACACGATGATCCTCCCAATACTGGCCAGATATTTTGTAAATAATATTAATTATGTGTTAAAGGAACATCCTTCCTTCCTTAGGCTTTAGTAAGCCCCTTTATAATATTTATACTGTATATACTTTTCACACTTGCCAGATGATTCTGGTGTCATTGTACAGGGGTACCTAGTGACAGCACTAGGATCCCGCTTCCTCTATCAAGGAATAAACAATTGAAATTGAAATTGAATTGCGTCGGTCATGCTTGGCTCCTGTCGTGTTCTCATTGTTGCCACTCGCCGGCATTCTTCTCTGGCTATTTCCCTGACGACAGGATCCGGTGACGTGAGTTATTTAAATGCGGTATCCACCAGGAAAATGTCAGAGTCTTCTGCCGCGAGTGGGACACCACACGCTCCAGCTTTACTGCTTCCGTATAGGTACTCATTCGACGCTCTTGACGGTAGATGTAGCGTGTGTTTCAGCATTGTCTTCATTTCGTTGTCCAGGTGTGCCCAGTCTGTTTTCCTCAGTTGCCAAGTCCTCATTGCATGCACTCCTGCCGGGTACATGAATGTCTTGAGTGCATCTATTCTCTGCCACGGTGCTAGCTTGCTTGTCAGTATTTTGGTCCCGAGGTGCATTAGTTCCTCTACTGTTTGGATGTTTGGCAGAAGATGGAACCCAACTGGTCGCCCCAAGAATAGCGTAGCTTCGCCATCGCTCTTCCATTGAATGGGCGTTTCTCCCACATAGATCTGTGTCTGGCGCATTCCTCGAGGTCTTCGTCCAGACTGGTGCAATGATGAGCATTTGCTAGGATTTATGTCCAGTCCCATCCTACTGCATTGTTCTGTTGCTTTGTAGAGGAGTTGCTGTAGATTATCTTGCTGTTTTATAATGATGGTTATATCGTCTGCATATGCTAAGCATGGGTGCTTGTGTTGTTGGTTCAGTATCATTCCTTCGGCCGCGATTTTCCGCAACAGTGGTTCGACCGCTATCTTGAACAGGAGACCACTTATTGGGCACCCCTGTTGCACACCGCATTGCACTGGTATCTCTTCTGTTTCTCCTTCCTTTGTTAGGATTCTTGTCGTCTTGCCACTGATGATGTCTCCTGCTACTGCTTCAAAATCCCGTCCCACCCCTATACGGTTGAGCGCTCTTTTGATGAGGTCCAGTGACACTGAGCCAAATGCATTGGTCAAGTCGAGTGCTGCTATGCAGGTATCGCCATTGTTCCGTCGTGCATCGTCCATGTGATGTTGAAGTATGTAGTTGTGTTCTATCACCCCATCACTTGGCATGAATCCTTTCTGTGCAGCGCACAGTACCTCGTTGTCAACGAGCCACCTTCTGAGTCGTGCTGTGAGGCATCCCGTGTACACCTTGTATATTGTGCGGCTCAGTGTTATAGGCCTCCAATTTGAAACGACTTCTGGGTTACCACCTTTTTTGAGTACAAGTATTGTTCTGTATCGTTTCCAGGAGTCTGGTATTCTCTTGGCTCTTAGACACACGTTGAATATGGCTGCCATAACTCGGCAGCTTGGGTCAGCCTTTCTCCAGTTATCATATGATATTCTGTCTTCACCTGGTGACGAATTCTCTGCTGCTGCTAGTTTTGTCAATACTTCCTTCTCTGTGAAGGGCTGCATTTCCATCTCTGGTCTGTCGTCTGGCGGTTCGGGAATGTGCTCCACGGTATTTAGGTCACATTCCTTTTCGACCATCATGTGTTGGAAGTGTTCCTCTATTCTCTCCTTGCTTATTTCACATCTTGCGCCGTTCCTTCGAGAATTAGCCGTATTGCACGGCGACGGTTGTATTTGTACAGCCTCTGGATCTGTTTGCAATCATTGACATCGGTGATTTTCCTGGTCGTGTTCTGTCCTTGAGAGATGTTTATCCTGTTTGCCGCTTGGATTGCTACCTCGATCTCAATTAGTACTTCTTCAAATCTTGCCCAGTCCGGGTTCCGCTGGATCTCATACAGTGTGCCCAGAAACAGGTCCAGTATCCATGTCCCCTCAGCTTCATCTCGCTCTTCATTTGGTTCAGGAGTTATGCCAATATGCTCCTGTATGTTGCCTTCACCACTTAGTGTTTGGGTTGCTTCACTTTGCGATAGTGGTGTAAGGGATTCACTGAGATTACTTTGGCTTCCTTCATTTGTTTCTTGACTTTGCATTATCTGTTCCCCTGTTTGGGTACTGTCTCCCCCATGTTGTTCATCAGGGCTTAGAGGTGACAGTGGCATTCTTGGAATGTGCAAGAGGGGTGTCAGGTCCCCTGCGTGCTGTGATTCCTCTCCTGGTGAGGGTTCATTTTGGAGCAGCTGGCTCGGCGTTATAGACCTCAGTCGCGTTTCTTGATCGTCTGGGCTCAGCGGTGACACTGGTGTACTTCTCCCTGAGACGGGGCGTGGTGTCTCTGGTCCTTCCACTTCTCCATCCCTGGGTGGGGGGGTCCATCTGTGCCTTTCTCGTTGCCCTTGTGTTTCACTTTGCTGCTGTTGCTCGTCATTCTGTGGCTGCTCCCTCTGCTCGTTATCCCTATTTTCCCCAACTTCCTGTGTGGGCTGGGCGCTTGCTGGATTGCCTTCAGGCTGTTGGTTCCCCTGTCGTTGCTCCGCCTGACGTTGGTTGTCTCTCCTCCTCCGCTGCCGTACATGTGTTGCTGCCTTGTGGTTGTTCACTCCTCTCTTTGTTGGGGCAGAGTAGTGGCAGTATTGCACGTCGCACTGGAAACGAAAATGGGGATTCCTTTGCTCCTCCCTCATCTGCCTGTTGAGGATGCACGTGTGATTGCTTGGCCGGATAGTCAGTACCAGATAGCACCCTGCACACATGTTCATATATTCGTTGATTTTCTTGTTGTGGGCTTCCTTTAGATGTCGGACTAGTGATTGCTTGCAGCCAGACCACCCCGATGATGCACATTCCCATGGGCATCCCTGCGTCCTCTCTGTGCATTTGAAGGATGGTGGTGCAGGGAACCATATGGTCAGCATTCGGTTTCTTCTTTCCGGCTGCCGATCCCCGCTCGGGCGGGGGAGAGCATCCATTCCCCCGCCGTCCGTTGAGTCAGAGTCTCCGCCGCTCCCACCGATTTGTACTGGCTCGCCTGTCGCAGGTGTTCCGGCTCTCCATCCCACATCTTCTCCTTCGTTTCTTCCTCTTGGCCCTTCGTCGTCCATCTTGCCTTACCCACACGAACACCCACACACACATGACAACCCCCTTACCAGGGTGTACCCGCACTATCACGGTATTCCTGGAGGATCGGCCGAGAGTTGTGTACCGACCTCCCTTTCGCCATCACAAACCCACTCGATCGCAAGGTGATGGTTTACCGGGGAGGGACTTTGGGACGAATACACTTCTATGAGTGCAGGTCCCTCAGCCAGTACGAAGTAAGGAAGTACAGAGAGGAGGGAATAGCCACGTGTGAGAAGCACCCACGTGGGGTCCCGTGGGACCAGGTTTTGGGGCTTTGCAGGGCACCCCCGGTATGTTTCCTCTCACTGCATGGTATTAGTAATAACCACAGCAATGGAGAAATACCGGGTTCCCTGCTCGCCGCCTAAAACAACAAAGGAGTAAACTCTGTTACTTTCACCCCCAGAAAGTCCAAATCTGTGTTCTTCCTTCCATGCAAAAAGAACCTGATTATGTACTCTCCATTAAGCTGATAAGAACAGATACTACACTTTGATCTTAGCCAAAAGGCCGAGAAGCAGGTCCCGCAACTAGTACTAAGTATGGAAGTAGCAAAAGAGAGAAATAAGAATATATACTACACTTTGATCTTAGCCAAAATGCCGAGAAGCAGGTCCCTCAACTAGTACTAAGTATGGAAGTAGCAAAAGAGAGAAATAAGAATATATACTACACTTTGATCTTAGCCAAAAGGCCGAGAAAGCGATTCCAAAGCTGTTGCAATTAAATTAATGCACATTAGGTAATATTCTTAATTCGCTTCACCTGTAAATTGGTGCAACAAGGATCTATCTCGAGTTTTGTTTGCAGATAAACATTCGAATTCCTTATACATCAACATTTAAAATCTATAATAACAAAAGTCGTAATTATGTAACCAATTAATTTACTATTCTTTACACTTCATGGCTATATTACCATTTACAATTTTCAGTTTTCCTTAATCACTATCATTAATGCCTTCTTCCTTTGTTTAGGAGCTCTTATTGACCAGTGTTAGTGAAGGAAGAAACTGGCATGTTTGAGGGGCAGACTGAAGAACACATTTACTGTACTTTCCCCACGTAGAGTTACGCCCGTTGCCACTGTTTTTTTTACTATGGTACCACCAACAAACCCGCTGTTTTCATTTTATTTTATTTTATTTTTACATAGTAACTGGAAAACTAATTTCCGAACAATATAAATTGCACTAGAAATGAAAGTGACTAAATGCGTGAGACGATTACTTTATGAACCTTGTATGCCAACCTTCATGAAAGAATGAAGCTCCGCCCAGAAAAGTAGTTCCTGAAGTATTTGTAAAATGATTACATAAGTATAGACATTTCTTGCATATAATTGAAGAAAATTTGGAATTGTATCAATTTCTAGTTTGGTTATTATTCAATTTCCCAATAAAATGATACTGGGCTATATTGATCTTGTTACTATGCCAAAGAAAGTAGTTCCACAATGTTCAGTTTTATATTAGGAGGGATAGCCCTCACTAGATAGCAAGTTCCTCATAATTGATATTATAAGTAATACCCCAAACGACTTAATCGTGAGAGGGAGAAACTTAAGGTCAATTTGAGATAGAAGAAAACTTGGCTTACCTCTATACTTTAACAAACTTATCCTGGCAAATCAATCTAAAGATGGTGGTTGAGATACTATTAATTACTTTATTTTGGATCTAATTTGAAATCATCTTGATTTAGACACAAGAAAAACGCGAAAATAAATATCAATAGTTAACATTTTCTAGCCCAGTATGTTTGTAAATGAATAAAGTTTATAAAGAACCAACGAAAATAAATATAAATTCTAACATTTTCTAGCCCAGTATGTTTGTAAATGAATAAAGTTTATAAAGCCAAACTTGTTTATTTCTATCACATGCTCTTATTTTTAATTTGGAAATTTTTATTTTAGCATACTACGAATTATAGAAAGAGTAATCATTTTATTTGTTTGTAAAATGAGGTAAATAACATAAAAAAGAAGGTTCAGCGCATTGATGGTCAGTCAAGTAAGGTTAGGGTTCAGGATGATGATGTTCGTGCATACTTACCTGGCACAGGAGATACCGTGATCACGAAGGCGGTTTTCCCAGGGCGAGGCTCACCATTGCACTCCGGTGATGCTGACCCTTGCGATTAACCCAAATGTGGTTAACTCGGGTGTGCAATTTTTGTTAGCGGGGGACTGCGTTCGCGCTATCCCCCTTATACATATCATAAGGGACTCTAAACGAAATATAAAGTAAGGTGCAGCGGCGTATTTGCACCGCTTAACAAGGTCTCTGTTAATAAATAGTACTTGATTTATGCTTAAGCGTCAGCGAAGAATTTTTTCTACGCTACTTTTACATGATTTGTATTTTGACAATTTTGTGTGAATGAAAAGATTTTCAAACTCTCCAATTGATGCCTAGTAACTCATAATACTGAAAGAAGTTTTTAATAGTCTGTTAGGAAAACGTGTTAATCTAAATTTTTTCCAGTATAATATCGAGACATTTTTTTGAGATTAAAAACTTTGATTGAGACAGAAAAAAGGAGTGTTATGTCCTCATGACACAATAGAGAACTTCAAAATATTAACTGTACTCATGTTGTGAAATGAGCCTGAACTTATCCTAATGTTATATCCAACGTTATCCTTGCCAGGTCCTAACACACCTCTTATCCATGTTTGTCACATCATACTCATGCATGTGTAACTCCGCATATTGTAACCTACCAAGGACCGAATAAACGGACAATTACATCCTGCTTTTTTGCAACCCAGAAAGAAGTCGCACCTGTGTCTGACCGTGACATATATACAGCGATTATAAGACATTATATGCCCTTGGCCATCTTTAAATAAAATGTAATATATTTGCTTTAATTTCTCCCCATGGGGAGTGGACCGATCCCGGAGATACTGCAATACCGGGCCGATCCGCGGCAAAGGTGGAGCAAGCCCCTAGCACTTCGCCATGATCCAAAAATCAGTTTAATATCGAAGATCCCACATGGGGATCGTATCAGATATTAAGCTGATAAGAACAGATACTACACTTTGATCTTAGCCAAAAGGCCGAGAAGCGATGACGATTGCTGTGTTGCAATCAAACCAATGCACATTACACAATAACCTTACTTTAGTTTTAAATTGGTGCAACAAGAATTTATCTCGAGTTCTGTTTGCAGATAAACAGTCAAACTCCTTATGCATCAACACTAGTAATCTATAATAACAAAAACCGTAATTGAATTACCAATTATTATACTATTCTTTACACTTCATTGTTATATTACCATTTACAATTTTTAGTTTTCCTTAATCTTAAAAAAAAATCACTTTTGTTCGTTATTTCTTTCTTTCATTCTTTCTTTCTTTTTTCTTTATGAACATTATTGACCAGTGTTAGTGAAGGAAGAAACTGGCATGTTTGAGGGACAGACTGAAGGACGCATACCCTACACTGTACTTTCCCCATGAAGAGATACGCCGGTTGCCAATGTTTTTTAACTATGATACCAACAATACACCCGCTGTTTTTGTTATTTTATTTTTTACATAGAAGCTGGAAAACTAATTTCCGTTGCATTATGAAAAGTATAAATTGCACTAAAAATGATAGTGCCTAAATGATTGAGACAATTACTTTATGAACCGTGTATGCCAACCTTCATGAAAAAATGAAGCTCCGCCCAGAGAAGTAGTTCCTGAAGTATTTGTAAAATGCTTACACAAGTATAAATATTTATTGCATATAATTGTAGAAAATTTGGAATTGTATCAATTTCTAGTTTGATTAGTCAATTTTCCAATAAAATGATTCTGGGCTATATTGATCTCATTACTATGCCAAATAAAGTATTTCCACAATGTTCAGTTTTATATTAGGAGGGATAGCCCTCACTGGATAGCAAGTTCCTCATAATTAATAGATAAAGTACATAAGCAATATCCCAAACGACTTAATTGTGAGAGGAAGAAACTTCAGGATCAATTTGCTACAGAAGAAAACTTGGCTTACCTCTATACAAACTTATCCTGGCAAATCAATCTAAAGTTGATGGTTGAGATACTATTAATTACTTTATTTTGGATCTAATGGGAAATCATATTGAATTAGACACAAGAAAAACGCGAACAAATTATCAATAGTTAAAATTTTCTAACCCCGTATGTTTGTGTTTTGATGGAAATGAATAGTTTATAAAGCCAAACTTGTTTATTTCCATCATATGCCTCTCACTTTTAATGTGACAATTTTTATTTTAGCATATTACGAATTATATAAAAAGTTATCATATAATTGGTTTATAAATTTAAATCAATAACATAAGAGAGATGGTTCAGCACAATGATAGTCAGTCAAGTTAGGTTAGGGTTTAGGATGAACAATTCAGGGCATACTTACCTGGCACAGGAGATACCGTGATCACGAAGGCGGTTTTCCCAGGGCGAGGCTCACCATTGCACTCCGGTGATGCTGACCCTTGCGATTAACCCAAATGTGGTTAACTCGAGTGCGCAATTTTTGTTAGCGGGGGACTGCGTTCGCGCTATCCCCCTTACACAATTCATAAGGGATTACATAAGAAATATAAGGTACAACGGCGTATTTTTACAGCTTAACAAGGTCTCTGTTAATAAATAGTACTTGATTTATGCTTAAGGTCAGCAAAGAATTTTTTTTCTATGCTACTTTTATATGATTTATATTTTGACAATTACGTGTGAATGAAAGATTTTCAAACTCTCTAATTGATGCCTAGTAACTCATAATATTGAAAGAAGTTGGGTTTTTTTTAATAGTCTGTATCACACTCGACAGTCACTCACTGTCACAGCAATGAAAGAAATCTATCATGATCTTGTTTACCAACACCTGATACACTGGTTACTGCACAAAAGAGAGTTGTACGGACAATGACCTACTTGAAAAAAAAAACAGATCACACAAATAAAAAATTAGCTATATTGAAAATTTTTAAATTCGAAGATGTTAACACCTACTGCTGTGCCCCTTTGTTTACAAATCTATCAATCACTTTTCATTCGCCTCTACCGCCGTGGACTTCCCCGAGTGTTGATGTTGTCGTCCACACCTTCCCTGGTCGTAAATCCACCCAACTGCGGTATATGCTCAAACTTAACTGCCTTGAGCAGATTAATGATGTCGCCTCCTCTCTTAAGACCTCCCACCCTCCTATCCTCGTCTACTGTGATGTGTCTGTTACCACGCTGGGCAGCGCTGGGGCAGCTGTGTGGATTCCTGAGCGCCAGGCCTGCAGGAAAATCAGGGTCCACGACTGGGCCTCCTCCACTGATGCTGAAAGCATAGCCATCCTCGCGGGCATTCATGAGGTGGCGACCTACTGTATGCTCGCACTGAACGCTGGAACCTCCTTATAATCAGTGACAGCACTTCGGCGCTAGCGAGGCTCAAATTAGCCTCCCCCTCCTCCCCTGCCGCCCAACACACCCTAGCCGCCGTCGCCGGGCTAGAACAAACTGATGACATCCGTGTCAAGTTT